TCCGTCCCATCTCCCCAGGCCTGCCTTTCCCCCAAGCCCGCAGCCACGCCCTTCCTGCGCCCACAGGTGTGGTGCGGGTCCTACCGGCCCGAGTTTGCCATACAGTCCATCAAGACCGACGTGCACAGCCCCCTGAAGTACAGGCAAGTAGCCCCCGCTACCCGCGGGCAGACCCCCACCCCCAGCCCGCGCACCCAGGGAGGCCGGCTCAGGCCCCCGGTCGCCCTCAGGGTGCTGGGCTCGCTGCAGAACCTGGCGGCCTTCGCAGAAGCCTTCCACTGCGCCCAGGGCACCCACATGCACCCGCAAGAGCGCTGCCGCGTCTGGTAGCCATGGGCGAGCCACACTGCGTGGCCCAAGCGCACCCGCCGCCCGAGGCCGGGCGTCCCTTCCGTGCGCCTCCGGAGCAGCGGGCGAGGCCAGCACGCATCCCGCCCCGCGCCCAGAGCGCAGCCGCGGCCCCCGGGAGAGCGGCGCCTCCGGGGCCCTCCGCGCTGGAGCCCAGGGCTGCTACGCCCGGCCCGTAGACCTGTTTAACCGTCCGCACCCGCTCTCCGAAGCGACCTTGTCAGCTGTCCGTGCGCTTCAGCCTTGAGCTAAGTAAACGCTTCAAAGAAGTCAGTGGCCTTGTCTGTTCAGGAGGGCCCTGGAGGCAGTCGGGGTGGCAGTCCCCCAGGCCAGAAGCACTGGCTGCTCGTGGCCTAAGTGGTAGCCTCGGGCAGAGCAGCAGCCAGGAGGGGAAACAGCAGGGTACCATGTGGACGGGGGACCACTCCTGCTGACCGTCCCCGGGGCCCCGGGCTGTGGGCACAGCAGTGACCAGGATATCTCCAAATACTGGCCCTCTGCAATCCCCCTTTCAGAGGGGAGGAAGGGCTGCTGAGGTTGGCAGGTGGGCCAAGGGGACTAGGGAGCCACAGCTCAGAACTGAGACCAGCTTTTATGTAACTAGAGGCCAGTGGAGGAGTTAAACCTCACAGGGACATTGTCACCTGCCCTGGGTGTTTAAATGACCCGCAAGAGAAGGACTGAATGGGCAGGGGGGATAAAGTGGGAGGAAGCTGGGAGGCCAGCTAGAAGGTCACTGTGGTCACCAAGGCCAGGCCAGGGGGGACGGGAGGTGCTGAGACGGTCATCTGAACCCACCAGACGGGAGAGCCCCTGACAAGGGCGGCGGGGGCAGGTTTCCACTCTGGACACGTTAGGCTCCAGTGCCTGTTGCACGTGCCAAGGAGTGGCACTGGGGGAGCCGGGTGAACCAGCTGGGCCAAGACTCCCCCCGGCCCGCCACCCCCAGCAGGGAGCAAATGACCCATGCCATCAGGGAAGGTCCTTCGTCTCCCTAAGTCCCACTGTCCACCACACCCCAGCAGCTGGACGAGACCACCTCCTCCCCGGAACCCAGCAGACATGAGCACTGAGCCTGACCCCTCCAGGCTGGGCTCTCTCCTGGGGAGTTCCCGATCCCACCCTTAGCTCCTGCACCCCGGGCCTGTCCTCAGACCCCTGACTCTCCTGTGCCACAGGCCTGACATCACCAGGGAGGCTGCAGGGGCATTTCCAGCACTCCCCACGCCCTCCCAGGGAAGCCTGCGGACCACTGACCGCCCTGCTGGCCGGGGGGGTGGCGGGAATCAACAGAGATAGAGGAGCCAAGGACTCGGGGCTCAGAGCCAACGAGGAAACCTGGTTTAATGCTCACGGCCACCCTGGGACCCAGCAGAGCTTAGTGCCCCAGTCCAGCCGTCCCGGGAAGACTCTTCACGTCCGCTCCCAGCATGCCCAAGCCAGCAGCCGCCTCGAGATCCCCAGAGGCCTCAGGGGTTCACCCTGTGCACACTTCTTCGTCACACTGTGGAGCAGCAGAGGCCCCGTCAGGCTGGCCAGCCGTCCCGGAGTCAAGGGTAGCTGCTCCCACCCACCAGCTGTCTGGGGCCCAAGTGCTGGACACTTCCCTCATTCGGACACAGGAGGCCAGCCCCCAGGACCTCACTGATGCTGGCTACGGTCACCTGGGATGAGCCCTGCACCCCTGCCCCCCCCCCCCGCCACTGAGGCTTAGAGGACAGGCGGCTTGTCTGTCCCGCACCCCTGGGTAGACGACTGTCGTCTGGGGAGGACCCTGCTGTGCCCACGGGTCCAGCCAGCCTGCCCCCGGCTCCCCACTGCTCTTAGCCTATTACCCCTCTGCTGACTGGGTGACAGTGACATCCTGGGCTGCCACGAGCACAAAATGACCTGAAGCCTGCAAGGTCCAGCCTAACACCTGGCCACACCCAGCGCTCAACCCAGGGAAGGTGGGTGTGCGTAACGGGCTGTTCTCAGCAGGCAGTGCCCCCCCCCAAGGCCCAAGCTCACCTGGGGCGACTCACTGGCATAGCCCTCCGCAGAGAGGCCCAGGGCCTGCAGGATGCGCTCCTGGGGAACATAGTCGCCTGGGGACTTCTGAACGAAGTGTAGCAACACTCTGTCACCACCTACAGCAGCGGGAAGCAGTCAGGGTACCCCTGCAGGCCAGGAGGACAGGGCAGCCCTCGTTGTCCGTGACCCCACCTGGCTGTCCTGACCAATGGGCCATTCTGACCACACCCCACCCAGCTAAGCCAAGAACCGCGTCACCCCACAGAGAAGACTGGACAAGAGAAACAAAGCCGAGGAAGGGAGGAGGAGGGTCAGGGCACACGGCCAACTTCAGCAAGGCCTTCCCACCCCGTGGGACCAGGCACTGGTCTCTGACGCCCCTTCCCCAGCCCACCTTTGGCAACTACCAACAGCCCTCCGCTCTGTAGCAGGTCCCCAGACAGGTTCCCCTGGATGCCGACAGCTTTGGCCTGGAGGGAGGGAAGCAGGTCCAGGTCAGCCCTAGAGGGAAGTCCCACCACCCCAAGTCCCACCCAGCCTTGGCGGGCACAAACCTTGAGGGCCACATCGCGCACGGGCTTCCCCAGGGCAGCCGGCACGATGCTCAAGCTGTTGTACCTGCGAAGGGACAGCTGGCTTGTCCAGGCTCTGGCTCCTCTCTGAAGCCCCAGCGCCTGTCCCCAGACTCTACACGGTGCACAGACCACTTCACGCAAGCGAGCTTCACCTCATCTCACCAGGGACTCGGGCCCTGGGGCGGCCAGGCCAGCAACCAGCCAGAGCTGGTGGGCACCCAGCCCGGGGTCAGCAGGTCTGGGGCCCCACAGAAGATCTGGGGAGGGTGGCCTGGCCCCCAGGCTGGGCGAGCGGGGAGGAGGTGGCTCAGCTTGTGCCACTAATCAGGCAGAGCGACAAGCATATAACCCGGCGCTGGAGGGGCTCTGATGGCTCCGGGCCCCCTCTGCAGCCTGCCCGGGCTTGATCTTGGGTGAGAAGCCGAACCCACAGTACTAATAGCCCCCAGGAGACAGCCCTGCAGGACCAGCCGAGCAGTGGATGCCACCAGAGCTGCATGCCCGGGAAGAGGCCAGCAGGGAGAGGGTGAGGAGGCAGTGTCCCCCACTCACCGCCTGAAGCCCAGCTCCTTGTAGAACTGCTTGCTCTCATCCAGGTAGAGCTCTGGAAAGCAAAGGCCCCAGGGGTGCTCTCAGGCCCAGCCACCACCTGGCCCACCCTCCTGCACCCAGCCCACGTCTGCCCTTCTTGCCCAGCCGGGACAGGGAAGAGGAGAGAGGAGCAGAGGGGAGCTGAGCGTCCCCAATGCTAGAGAAGGGATGGAGACCCAGAGGGGACAGAGAAAGGGAGGAGCGGGACTCATCTGGACCTTGCCCCTTGGCCCAGAGCTCTGGGAGGGCAAATCCTGAAAGCTAGGGTAAAGAGGCTAGCTGTGTGGGAATGTGGGGGCAAGCAGCAGCCTTGTCCCAGCTGCTGCTCAGGCTCCGGGGGAGGAGGTGAGTACCCGAGGCCAGCGTCAGCACCAGGCTGTGCCACTGTGCCCAGCGGAAGGGGCGTCATGGTTGGGGGAGCGGGTAAGGGCAGCAGGTGGAGAACCCAGGAAAGACGACTGGAGGTCCTGGAGCAAGAAGGGTCAGGGCTGGGCAAGGAGGGGATGACCAATGCCCTGAGCTTGAGGGGGCGTCTCAGGCAGCTGGCCGGCTCCGGCTGTGGGAGAGGAGAGCACAGGCACCTCCTGAGAAGTAGCCCCCGTCCAGGAACTCCTGCAGGCCCAGGGCCTCGGGCCCCACGCCCACCAGGCGCACGCCGTGCCGGTCCAGTAGCCCCCAGAGGCTGCTGAGGTCCCGGGCGATCCAGCGACACACGGAGCAGCCAAAGCGCCGCAGGCCGGCCACCACGCACGCCTGCTCGCGCCACAGACTCCGCAGCTCCACGGCCTGCGTCGGGTGGACAAGGGGTGCCGGTGGACCACTGCCCACGAGCATCCGCGCCCCCAGCCCCACCACGACCCTCCCGGGACCCCGACGCCGGTCCAGGATGCCGTTGCCAGGGCGCACGGGCAGGTGCCAGGTGCCCACCCGCCGTCCCGCTCTCGTCTGGCCTCACCTCCCCGGTCACCGCATGCTTCAGGACGCACGCGCCCACGCGGGCAAGGTCGACAGCGCTCATGTCTTCCTGCCACCCCGCTCCCCTGCGCCCCGCTCCGCCGCGGCCCCGCTACTGGCCGGCTTAGCCACACCCTCCCCGCAGGCCACGCCCCCAGCCCGCGACCCAGTCCCAGCAGATCTGCCGGCCCCGCCCCACCCCGCCAGGTGACGTGTTTTGCATATGCATAAGCCGGTCGGCCAATGGCGTCCCTGCGCTGGGGGAGCGGCGCGGACTGGCGCGGGCACGCGGTGCGCCTGCGCACAGAGCCGCGTCGCCAGGGCCCGGCCCCGCCCGGGGAACCCGTGCTGTGGGGGAGCGAGCGGGGTCAGGGGTCGGGGGTCCCGGGGCGAGCGGCTTGCCGGGCAGGGTCGAGGCGAGCGGAGTGAGCGCCCGTGTCGCGGCCCTTCGCGCCCGGCCGCGGTCCTGCGGGCCTCGCTCTTACTTCGACCTGAGACTCCCCGCGCACGCCCCGGTACCGCAGCGCCTGTGCGGGTGTCCCCCCCCGGCTTAGCTCCGGGACATGGCCTCCGGGCGGCGCGGGCCCGGGATCGAACGACGCTGTGCTGCGGCCGCGCGGCTGAGAGCCCGGTCACCCCCGATCACCCGGTTTACCGATGGCAGACGGTGACACCGGGGACTTCGCCCCGAAAACGGTCCCCCGGACGGACGTCCGCCCTGACCCGGGGCTTCTGCGTTCGGCTCGCTCCCAGGTCCCAGGGAGCCTCCAGGGCCCGGACCAGGCTGCAGAGCCGAGAGGGCGGATGCCTCCACTGCGGCGGGGAGAGGGAGCCCCCGCCCTCCATATCCGGGCCCAGGACAGGGGCTGCTGCCCTCCTTGCAGGTCTGCGGATGGAAGGTGCCGGCCGGCTGGAGCGGCGGAGGGCAGGCGTCCAGCCCCCGTCTCCCACGGACAGCGTTCGTGTCCGGTACTAAGGCAGGAGGAGCAGAGAGACGAAGGAGACCACCGGGGAAGGAAGAATCCGGGGCGGCCCACGGCTCCAGAGCCGGGGAGTGCGGCCCCCAGAGGCCAGGGATGGTGCTGTGAGGAGGGGGCTGCCAGCCCTGGGGAGCGGGAACCCCACAACGGAGGCAGCCAGTTTCAGGGACAGCCCTTGAAGGAGGAGCGTGAGGTCAGGGACTCCTGTCCGCGTCCCTTGCATCTCTCTCTAGGGCTGCTGGCGCTGGAGCTTCAAGGAGGCTGCAGGCAGGGGAGGAGGAGACGGGTTTGCCGCCCCAGGCCGGACCCGAGCAGGGGGCCCATGGGCGTCCTCGGAGACCGACTTTACCAAGGCGACTGGAGGCCTGGGAGTGGGCCTGGGGCTTTTACTGAGTGGTGAGCAGGAGAACGCAGCCCCTGCCCCTGGGGTCCCCGCAGCCACCCCCAGAGTCCCAGGCTCTCCGAGTGGGTGGGCCTCAGCACGCCCATTGCAGAGGTGGGGTCTCACCCACAGGCCGAGTCCCAGGTCAGAGTCCCACAGGAGCGCGTCGCCCCGCACGCCTCGCTCCGGGTCGCTGCTCATTGTTTCAGAAGGACCCGAGGTGCTCACGGGACTCCTCCCTCCCAGCGGGCATGGGGTCACCCTTGGCTTGCTGGGCGACAGCCCGCGCACCCCGAGAGCATGAGGCATGTCCCTGGCCTCTTGGAGCAAAGAGGGGCAGGTCCAGACCATCTCCAAGGTCGCCCTGCTCAACTAGTTCAAGCCAGTACCCCCAGAGCGGACGTCTTGACGGTCCTGCAGACCCCCTGCCCCCGGCCTCGCTGGTCCCCGGCCATCCGGCAGAGGGAGGGTCCCCACGAAGGGTCCCAGCAGGACCCGCAGGGGACGTTGGCCAGCGGGCCGCTCGCGGGACACGAAGCTGCCCCGTGAGTGCTGGTCGGCCGGATGGGCGAGCGAGGGGGGAGTCGGGCGCATCTCAGGCCGGGCAGCGTCCCCTGTAAAGTCAGACTCGGGAACGGGGCCGCACACCCCCCTTGGACGTGGTCTGTCCGGCGATCTGTCAAGTGACATCCAGTGACCGTGTGGAAATGAGAAGGCAGAGTGCGGCCGTCCTGTGTGTCCCTGGTGACAACAAGGGGTGACCGTCCAGGGTGGGGGCTCCCTCTGACAGGCCCTCGGGTGTCGGGGCATGGCCTGTGCTCGTGGGGTCTGGTGGGTCTCCCAAGGGCCTGGGTCCCGCCGGGCCCCCGCCCTGCCTCGGAGGCTGTGCTGGGTTGGTCCTGGGGACCGGTCAGCCCCCACCCCACCCCCCGTGACTTCACCCCTGCCTGCTTCCTTCCCTGGCACGAAGGCTGTCCTCCTCAGTGTCCCCAGGAACTGGGATTAGGTAGTGACCCCCGGGCCCGTGGTGCCAAGGTCAGGACAAGGAAGGGGCTCAAGGTCGGTCCGCGCTGGGCCACCAGCAGTCAGCTACTGAGGGGGTGGTTCCTGGTCCTGGCGAGGGCTCCACCTCAGGATCTGATGGGGACCTGCCCGGGGCCCGTGGAACTGGATACCCACAGCCGGGTCGGGATGGGTCTGCTGGGAGGGAAGCCGCCACAGGTCATGGATTTGCAGCCTCACGGATGAGGGAAGTCAGAGGGTTTCATGCCCATCGCATGAGCCCCAGCGCTGAGCGGGGACGTGGGAGCCGTGGGGCTCCAGGGGAGACCCCTCAGGACACGTCCCATCTGAGGCGTCAGCAGGGGTGCGCTGCCTCTCGCCAGCCCCCCCGCCTGCGTCTTGGGGCCCCAGGCACGTGGGGGTCCCCCACCCCTAAGCTGCCCACAAGGTCACCACCTCGGGGGGCCGCAGTGGTATGGGGAAGCCCAGGTGGGGAGAGCCCCTGCTGCATGGGGAGATTAGGGTTAGGGTCTGAGCACTGTCTGCACTCCAGAGACCCGGGGCCAGGCCCTGTTGCTTTTTTTTTTTTTTTTTTTAATTTAAGGTTTTATTTATTTATTTGACAGAAAGAGAGAGAGAGGTCACAAGCAGGCAGAGAGGCAGGCAGAGAGAGAGGAGGAAGCAGGCTCCCCGCTGAGCAGAGAGCCCGATGTGGGGCTCGATCCCACGACTCTGAGATCATGACCCGAGCCGAAGGCAGAGGCTTCACCCACTGAGCCACCCAGGCACCCTGCCCTGTTGCTTTCTGAGCCCACTGACCCACCTGCCCATCTGTGAGATGGGAGCAGGAATGAACCAGCCCAGCCCCATCCTGGGGACAGGTGCGGTGTGGACAGTAGGTGCGGCTCAGGGAAAGCAAAATGTCACTCTCACCCTGGGTGGGAGCACTGAAGGTGCTCCCCCTCCCACGGGGAGGGACCCCTCGTGCTGAGCTCTGCTCAGGAATGTGTAGGTGGAAACCAGCCCCCCCATCCCTGACAGAGGGCACTGCGTGGGAGACGGGGTCCTTTGGGGGGCCGGTCACCCTGCTTCAGTAGACGCTGTGACAGGGGGCAGGAAAGCAGGAGGGCTCCTCTTGTGGCCTTGGTGCCGGTGCTGGAGGGGAGCAGCCGGGGGCTCCCCGGGTGTCCGGGTAGCCGAGGAGACGCAGACGCACAATTGGGGGGCCCCAGCTCTACAGCAAAGTCAGGGGGCCGCTAAGGGACAGGGAGGCCAGGAGAAACTCCTCAGCCAGAACGGAGTGGGGCTCACTGAGTGGGGCAGGAGGAACTGTGCCCACGGCTGTGCCTCTGTGGTCCCGCCTGGTGGCCTCGCCCTCCCTTTGCGAGCTCTTCTGCCTTGTGGTCACCTCTTGCCTCCTGCACAGCTGGCCCCGCGCCCCCTTTCTCCCATCCCTGTGGGCTCCTGTGGGGTGCTGGCCATAGGCAGCTTGACCCCGACAAAGCCCGGGAGGGACAGACTGAACCGACCACAGCAGCCGAGCCTCCCTCGTGGGGCCCCAGTTTCTCTTTCCCTTTCAATTTAGACGAGGCAGGTTCCGGGTTGAATGCGGGCTGGGCCTGCCGGCAGGGGTGCTGGGACAGCAGCCAGGGAATGAGGGGTCCTGAAGAGGGACATGGAGCCTCCTGGAGGCTGGGAGCCGCCCCCCCTGCAGCCGGGCACCGAAGCCTGATGCCCTGAGCCAGGTGAGTCCTGGAGCCTGTGTGTGTGTGTGTCCGCGTCCCAGCGCTTCCTGGTGTCCCTGTCCTGACTCCCGCGGTGCCCAGCTCTCTCCGCGGACCCTGCCCTGGGCCCCACCTGCTCCTGGTCCCACATGGGCTTTTGTCCCCCAGCATTGTCGCTCTGGGCTCACCCAGCCCCTGGCCCCCATGCCCGTGCCCTGATCCCACAGTTTGGGAGATCAGCTTGACATAGGCCACACCCACCAGCCCCTGATGTGCTCCTCTGGGGCCAGGAGCCACCTTTGTCTCCAAGCCCTGCTCACCCCCAGCCCTCTGAGCCTCTGCTTGCCCATCTGTAGGACAGGCTTGTGGGTACCTACCATGGGCTGGGTGACACTGGATGGACCACGAATGCAGCGTGATATCAATGACTGTCACACTGGGAAGTCATTTCTAAATTGGAGTTGTTTTGCTCAACAAATTAAAAATTAAATTTTTTTAATTTTTAAAATTAATTTTTATTTTTATTTTAATTTTTTTAATTTTTAAAAAAATTAAAAATTACGGGGCACCTGGGTGGCTCAGTGGGTTAAAGCCTCTGCCTTCAGCTCAGGTCATGATCCCAGGGTCCTGGGATCGAGGCCCACATCGGACTCTCTGCTCGGCGGGGAGCCTGCTTCCCCCTCTCTCTCTGCCTGCCTCTCTGCCTACTTGTGATCTCTGTCAAATAAATAAATAAATAAAAATCTTTAAAAAAATATTAAAAATTACTTTTTAACTTGTCATCAAAAAGTATATTTTGAGGGGCACCTGGGTGACTCAGTTGGTTAAGCCTCTGCCTGAGCTCAGGTCATGATCTCAGGGTCCTGGGACTGAGCCCCATGTCAGTGCTCTGCTCAGCGGGGAGTCTGGCTTCTTCCCCTCTGCCCCTCCTCCCTGCTCGTGCCCCCCGCCCCGCTTTCTCTCCCTCCCAAATAAAATAAAATCTAAAAAAAAAAAAGTATACTTGGCAGGATGATTTGAGAGTATGTAAATATCCTGTTTCTCTGGAAACTTTCTGGGAAATCGGGACAAGCAAGGACAGCTGCATGGATGAACATGTTTGGGGGAGATACTTTGCGGCTGTGTAAGTGCGCTGTTCTCAACTGCTCTTGACTGAACAAGGGTGTTCAGCTGGAAGCGGGAGAACTCCCCTTGCATTCGTTCATTCGCGTGCCATCATGCATTGACGTCATGGAAGGCTTTATGGTTCCAGTTTTATCCACTGAGTTTTAATCTATTACTCTTACATATTTTGGTCTCCAAATTGTCCCAAATTTTTCCAGCCAGAGACCCTTTATCCTGGCTTATGGATTTTTTTTACTTACTCCTACCAATCCATAGCTCTCCATTAATTTCTGGCCCAACAGAATGTGCCCAGCTCTCTGGGTCTTACCCAGCCCCAGTCCTGGGAGTAGACATTTCCCCAAGAAACCCAAATTATTTTTACAAAGAATGGATTTTTTTCAATTTTATTTAAATTCAATTAATTAAAATATACTATATTATTGGTTATCAGAGGTAGAGGTCAGTGATTCATCAGCTGCGTACAACACCCAGTGCTCATTCCATCACGTGCCTCCTTAATGCCCCTCCCCCAGTTACCCCATCCCCCCACCCACCCCCGCTCCAGTACCACTCAGTATGTCAGCCTCCCTCTCTATTTTTATCTTATTTTTCCTTCCCTTCCCCCATGTCCATCTGTTTTGTTTCTTAAATTCCACGTATGATATTTGGTATTTGTCTTTGTCTGACCGACTTATTTCACTGAACATAATACCCTCTAGTTCCATCCACATGGTTGCAAATGACAAGATTTCATTTTTTTTGGTGACTGAGTAATATTCCGTTGTGTATAGACACCACATCTTCTTTATCCATTCATCTGTCAGTGGACATCTGGGCTCTTTCCATAGTTTGGCTATTGTGGACATTGCAGCTATGAACCTTGGGGTGCACGTGTCCCTTCGAATTACTATGTTTGTATCTTTGGGGTAAATACCCAGTAGTGCTATTGCTGGGTTGTGGGGTACTTCTATTTTCAACTTTTTGGGGAATCTCCATGCTGTTTTCCAGAGTGGTTGCACCAGCCTGCATTCCCACCAACAGTGTAGGAGGGTTCCCCTTTCTCCGCATCCTCACCAACATCTGTCTTTTCCTGACTGGTTAATTTTAGCCATTCTGACTGGTGTGAGGTGGGATCTCACTGTGGTTTTGATCTGTATTTCTCTTATGACAAGTGAGGTTGAACATCTTTTCACGTGTCTGTTGGCCATTTGTATGTCTTCTTTGGAGAAATGTTTGTTCGTGTCTTTTGCCCATTTCTTGACTGGATTTTTTTTTTTTAGGGGGGGTGTTGAGTTTAATAAGTTCTTCATAGAGTTTGGATACTAGCCCTTATCTGATAAGACACTTGCAAATATCTTCTCCCATTCAGGAGAAGGTTGTCTTTTGGGTTTTGTTGACTGTTTCCTTTGCTGTGCAAAAGCTTTTTATCTTGACAAAGTCCCAGTAGTTCATTTTTGCTTTTGTTTCCCTTGCCTTTGGAGATGTGTCTAGCACGAGGTTGCTGTGGCTGAGGTCGCTGCCTGTGTTCTCCTCTAGGATTTTGGTGGATTCCTGTTCTTTGTTCCATTTTGAGTCTATTTTTGTGTGTGGTATAAGGAAACGATCCAGTTTCATTCTTGTGCATGTGGCTGTCCAATTTTCCCAACACCATTTGTTGAAGAGACTGTCTTTTTTCCACTGGACATTCTTTCCTGCTTTGGGGAAGATTAGTTCACCATAGAGCTGAAGGTCCATTTCCGGGTTCTCTGTTCTGTTCCATTGATCTATGTGTCTGTTTTTGTGCCAGGACCATACTGCCTTGACGATTACAGCTTCGCAATGCAATAGAGCTTAAAGCCTGGAATTGTGATGCCACCAGCTCTGGCTTTCTTTTTCAATATTCCTCTGGTTATTCAGGGTCTTCTCTGGATCCATACGAGTTTTAGGATTATTTGTTCTAGTTCTGTGAAAAATGTTGACAAAATTTTGATTGGGATTGCATTCAATGTGTAGATTGTTCTGGGTGGCATAGACATTTTAACCTCTTCATCGGCATTCGTAGTGAATATTCCTTTTAATGTACTGTTGTTGGATCCTCTTGGCTGCTATCTTGGTTGGAAATTTTGCATCATTGTTCATCAGGGAATTGGTCTGTAATTCTCCTTTTTGGTGGGTTGTCTGGTTTTGGGATCAACATGATGCTGGCCTCATAAAATGAGTTTGGATGTTTCCCTTCCATTTCTATTTTTTGAAACAGCTTCAGAAGAAAAGGTATTAATTCTTCTTCAAATGTTTGGTAGAAATCCCCTGGGAAGCCATCCAGCCCTGGATTCTTGTTTGTTGGGAGATTTTTGATGACTGCTTCAATTTCCTTGCTGGCTTTGGGTCTGTTCAGGTTTTCTATTTCTTCCTGTTTCAGTTTTGGTAATTTATGTTTCGAGGAATGCATCCATTTCTTCCAGATTGCCTAATTTGCTCTGGTATAGTTGCTCATAATATGTTCTTATAGTTGTTTGTAGCTTTTTGGTGTTGGTTGTGATCTCTTCTCTTTCATTCATGATTTTATTTATTTGGGTCCTCTCTCCCTCTCTCTTTTCTTTTTGATAAGTCTGGCTAGGGCTTTCTTGGTCTCATTAATTTTTTCAAAGAACCATCTCCTCATTTCATTGATCTATTTTACTGTTCTTTTGGTTTCTATTTCATTGATTTCTGCTCTAATCTTTATTATTTCTCTTCTCCTGCTGGGTTTAAGCTTTATTTGCTGTTCTTTCTGCTGCTCCTTTGGGTGTAGGGTTAGGTTGTATATTTGAGAGTTTTCTTGTTTCTTGAGAAAGGCTTGTATATACTTTGTATATACAAGAAAGGCTTGTATATACTTTGTATATACAAGAAAGGCTTGTATATACTTTGTTTCTATATACTTTCCTCTTAGGACCCCCTTTGCTGCATCCCAAAGGTTTTGAAAAGTTGTGTTTTCATTTTCGTTTGTTTCCATGAATTTTTTAAAGTCTTCCTTAATTTCCGGTTGACCCATTCATTCTTCAGTAGGATGCTCTTTACCCTCCATGTATTTGAGTTCTTTCCAAATTTCCTCTTGTGGTTGAATTCCAGTTGCAGAGCACTGTGGCCCGAAAATATGCAGGGAATGATCCCAATCTTTTGGTACTGGTTGAGACCTGATTTGTGATGTGCACTATTGTGATCTATGTTATCTATTCTGGAGAATGTTCCATGTGTGCTCCAGAAGAACGCGTATTCTGTTGCTTTGGAATAGAATGTTCTGAATATATTTGTGATGTCCATCTGGTCCAGTGTGTCATTCAACACTGCTGTTTCCCTGTTGATCTGCTTAGATGATCTGTCCATTGTTGCAAATAGGATGTTAAAGTCCCCCACTGTTATTGTACTTTTTATCAATGTGTTTATTTAATTTTGTTATTAATTGTGTAGTATAATTGGTTGCTCCTATATTAGGGGCAAAAATATTTACAATTGTTAGATCTTCTTGTTGGATAGACCCTTTAAATATGATATAGTGTCCTTCCTCATCTCTTATTATTGTCTTTGGTTTAAAATCTAATTTGTCAGATATGAAGATTGTCACCCCGGCTTTCTTTTGATGTCCATTAGCATGGTAAATGGTTTTCCACCCCTTCACTTTAAATCTGGAGGTTCCTGTGGGTCTAAAATGAGTGTCTTATAGACAGTATTTTTTAATCCAATCTGATACCCTGTGTCTTCTGATTGGGGCATTTAGCCCATTTACATTCAGGGTAACTGTTGAAAGAGATGAACTTAGTGCCATTGTATTCCCTGTAAAGTTACTATTTCCATAGATTGTCTCTGTTCCTTTCTGGTCTATGTTACTTTTGGGCTCTCTTTGCTTAAAGGATCC